AGACTGTCATTCAGTTTTATTATTATTATTATTTCTTGATGGGGCTGATATAGTTTGAGTTGGATAGTCCTTGATTTAGCCGATCCACGGTGGTTCATCAAAGCCGATCCACAATCTAGTTCTATTCTTGTTTATATTATTATTTTCCCGAATTGGTAATACAATATTATCTTAATAGCTCGATGTGGCCAAACAACTGTCACATGTTTTTATTTATTATTATTATTTTTTCAATTGGGCTGATATAGTTTGATCTGGATAGCCTTTGATTTAGTCGATCCACATTGGTCTATCAAAAGTGGATCCACAATCCGGTTCTATTTTTGTTTATTTATTATTTTCCTGAATTGGCTAGTACGATCTTATCTTAATAGCCCGATCTGACCAATATTTTGCTGATGGGGCTAATATAGTTTGAGCTGGATAGTCCTTGATTTAGCTGGATAGTCCTTGATTTAGCTGATCGACATTGGTTCATCAAAAGTTGATCCACAGTCCAGTTCTATTTTTATTTATATTATTATTTTACCGAATTAGCTAATACGATCTTCTTGATAGCCTGATTTGGCCAAACAATAGCTGTCATCTGTTTTTATTTTTTATTTTTATTTTTCCGATTGAGCTGATATAGTTTGATTTTGATAGGCCTTGATTTAGTCGATCCACATTGGTTCATCAAAAACTGATCCACAATCCGGTTCTATTTTTGTTTATATTATTATTTTTCTGAATTGGCTAATACGATCTTATCTTAATAGCCGATCTGGCCAAACAACAGTTGTCATCTATTTTTATTTATTATTATTATTTTTCCGATGGGGCTGATATAGTTTGAGCTGGGTAGCCCTTGATTTAGCCGATCCACATTGGTTCATCAAAAGCCGATCCACAACCCTGTTCTATTTGTGTTTATATTGTTATTTCTCGAATTGGCTAATACAATCTTATCTTAACAGTCCGATCTGGCCAAAACAACAACTGCCATTTGTTTTTATTTATTATTATTATTATTTCGATTGGGCTGATATAGTTTGATCTGGATAGCCCTTAATTTAGTCGATCCACATTGGTCCATCAAAAGCTGATTTACAATCTGGTCCTATTTTTGTTTATATTATTATTTTCCTGAATTGGCTAATACAATCTTATCTTAATAGCCGGATCTGACCAAACAAACAGCTGCCATCTGTTTTTATTTTTTATTATTATTTTCCCGATGGGGCTGATATAGTTTGAGCTGGATAGTTCTTGAATTAGCCAATCCACATTGGTTCATCAAAAGCCGATCTACAATCCGGTTCTATTTTTGTTTATATTATTATTTTCCTAAATTGGCTAATACGATCTTATCTTAATAGCCCGATTTGGCCAAACAATAACTGTTACGTGTTTTTTTTTTCTGATTGGCTGATATAGTTTGATCTAGATAGTGCCTTGATTTAGCCAATCCACATTGGTTCATCAAACGCCAATCCACAATCCGGTTCTATTTTTGTTTATATTATTATTTTCTTGAATTGGCTAATACAACTTATCTTAATAGCCCGATTTGGCCAATCCAGATTGGTTCATCAAAGTCATCTACAACCTGGGATTTTAAACCCCTGGTTAAGAAATAGTGGGGATAGAAAGTTTATCCCATAACTACATTTTATTAGGAACTAAACCTAGAATGAGTGGGGGAGAGATGTATCTCTTAAGCATGGTTTAGGATCTCAAGTAAGGGAGGGAGTAGAGATAGAGGAGATCAACATAAGAGCAAGGTTTATTCGTACGCTTTGTGCTTTATAAAGATCTGAGGTACACCTAACAAAGAGGTAGTTTAGGAGAGAAAAAACTGGAGATGGAGGACATTCAGGGTGTGTTTGATTGGTAGAAGAGGAGGGTATCAAAGCAACCTCCTTTACTTTAGAAGTATTATGGGGTAGCATGTAAACTGCAACTTGTAAGCTTTTTAACGAATGCTTCCAAAATAGCTTAGCACCTTCCATTTGGTATTCATGAGTTAGCATGAAAACTGCAACTTCTAGTAAGGTTTTATATCCTAGAACCTTCTATTTAACAAACACGAGTTTTGGTAATCCAATACACCCTAATAAATATAGTCTGAGTTTTATATAAGGTGCCCATTTTATACTATACTAGAAAGGCACACCTTTAAATATTGTCCGAAGATATGCAAGATGTTCAACTTTAATTATGAAATTTAAAATTTAAAATTTCAAAATGCAGATCAAAATTGAACAGATTTATAAATACTTGAAAATCTAAAAAATGAACAATCTAACTCTAAAGATAGCTTTTCAAAAGATGCATTATTGTTATGACTAAAAAATTCTTCTGTTTTTTTTCTTAATATCTATACATCCTTGATCCTTGAGGTTGTGATGATCAATGAGAAAATTTTAACTTCAAAACTCTGTTATACTGGACTTTATTTCTAGAGTATAAAGTTGCAACTCATATAAACCTTTTCCAAGGTGGTGAGGATTATTGTGCAGCCTTAGTTTAGGAGTCCAACAGGCATGCTACCATGAAATTTCTGATCCCACATCAAAATCCTAAGAGAGAAGAAAGAGTAAGCCTTAGTTTAGGAGTCCAACAGGCCTGCCACCATGAAATTTCTGATCCCACATCAAAATCCTAAGAGAGAAGAAAGAGGAAGAAAGCGAATGCTAGAGGAAAACCAAAGGAAAATGAAAGAAACATGTAGGGAAAGATTCACATAGCCAAACACAAAATGCATGAGTAATCTAGAGGGTCCTTGCCAAAAATGGCCAAACCCAAATTTCTCCCTTTTAAATCCAACATAATCATACCTTTTTCAGCCATGACGCCATGAAGAGACACTCTCCTCCTCAAATTGAGAGAAAGATGACGACATTCATTCGATTTGATTGAGAGAAAGCACACCATGAGGACATAAGAATTTGATTGAGAGAAAACACACTATGACTATACTGTGTAAGAGATGTTAATAAAAAGATTACACATCAGAGAGAGAGCAAACCAGACAAAAACAAAATGATCAACATTTTCAAAACCAAATTTCATTCATTGCTCATATGTACATAAAATCTTTAAAACAATTGCTTCTTCACTTTGACCCACAAAGCCCACCACTACTCTGCTCTCTAGGATTTCAAAAGACTCCATCCCAAATGTTATGAGAGTCCTTTACAGATTAACCAGCAACATAAACCTTTCTCCTTTGAAATACAAACAATAAACCCTTGTTTCACCCAAAGTGATTAGGGCTAAACAAATTTAGCCCCTTACAGACCCTATCCCATGTATCCCTCTTTCCAAAAGTTGGATTCTTTCTCTCTCTAAAATACCAAACGATCGAACAACTCCAATCCCAACATCTCCCCCCTTTCTCTCTAGACTCTCTCTTTAAAATGGATTGTGAAGAGAGCATCCAAGTCAGGGGAACTAAAGAACTCCTTGAACCCATTCATGGGAAACTTTGAAGAAAGCTTTGGCTTTCGTGGAGCAGGAGGACATGGAAGCTTCTCTGGTATTCTCGCTTCTTTGCTCGTTGGTGTTCGAGATCTCTCATCGCCATCAAACTTCCCTTCATTTGAAGAGGGGTTTATAATAATAGGAGAAAGGGGATTTCGGCTAGGTATACCGGCAATGATCCATTTCTTTCCATCTTGCTTTGCTCCTTCTTCATCTCTGAACTTTTCCGAGTAGCCCATCAGAATAGAAAAGCACAAAAAAAAAAAGCCAAATTGAAAGATAATGATATGAGGCTTGAGAGAAGAGCTCTACTTCTGAAACCCCTGTTCTTAAAGCCCACAAAAAGGATCAGAGAGATGGGATCTTGATGAGGGAGAGCGCCTTGAGAATGTAGTGCAAAGGCTTCTCCTAAGAGAAAGAGAGATGAAGGTTGTGTTTATGCTTCTAAGAGAGAGAGAAAGGAAGAAGGAGAGAAGTGAGAGAGAGAGAGAAAAGGAAGAAGGGGAGAAGTGAGAGAGAGGGAAATCAAAAATATGAATGAGAGGGAGAAATAATAGAATATGAATTAGGGTGAGGAAGAGAGAGGGAAATAATAGAGGGTTGCCTCTGCCCGTAAGAGCTGCCCGCGGGCAGAGATTAATTAGGGTTTTGGAATTTTCGGAAACCGTCTTATTTTTGGCGGGAAAATTCTGTAAGTAAATAACGGCTATGATTCTTTTGAGTTATTTTACTTTTAAAAAAATGGTTGGAAATGAACTTTAGCTTAGGCCTTAAAGAATTAATAATGACTAAATCCTAGTTTTACTCAATCGGCTTCAACTTAGGAGTGGCAACTAGTCCGGTCACTGGGTTTCATTTGGACTTGGTCACGAGCCGGATCTTGGTTGGGCCCAATTCCTTTGAACCCAAAACTGGGTCTTAAGAAATTTAGTTTATAATTATTTAGTGTATATCTTTCCACCCTAACCAGAACTTGACCGTACCCGTATGGTCCAACTAACCCAACACATAAACCTAGATCAGGACCCCAATATGGTCCAACTAACCCAACACATAAACCTAGATCAGGACCCGAATATGGTCCAACTAACCCAACACATAAACCTAGATCAGGACTCGGTTCGGGTGGAAGGCCCCTTATGGAATATCCGTTTGTGAAATGTCTTATGCGAATGACGAGAACACCCTTGAAGCCTTTGGGAATAAAACCGCTGATTCAGATGGGCAGTAAGTGTCACTTGCGACAACATTTTCCACTTTCCCCCACAAATGACATGAATACCCTTGCGGTGCGGCTGGAATCCAATGAGCCCCCTTCCAAGGGCAATTTTGTAATAACCATTGTTCCCTATGTGACTACTTATTTAGTAAATGATAATGAAGCGTTAACTAACCCGACCCAAAGAAAATGATTAATCAACGGTTTCTCTTCACAATTACAAAATTTGATTTCATAATTATCAGTATAGATAACTCAATGACCTGTACATAAATATCCATACTTTCAAAGTACATTTATATTTGAAGTTCAAATTGAAATTCAAATAAGGGTGCCGTTGGCATACGGATGCATCCGTAGCTGTAGAGGTAAGGTGAACCTTCAAATTCTTTCATGATATATAATTTTCATGTAAAATGTTATTAGGATTATCTCAAAATCTATTTTTATATTTAATTATAAAATTTTTAACTTAAAAAATGATTAAAATCAAGTAGATCTATAAACATATGAAAATTTTGAAAATGGACGGTGTAAATAATATGTTGTAAAATGCACTATTTCTAACACCTAAAATCTTTTTATTTTTCAGGGTCATACATCTCGATGTCGAGATGATCAATCAAAAGGTTTTTCAACATTAAAACTACTTTTTTTCCGATTGATTTTTGAGGTGCATCCATAGTCCTACATTATAAGGTTGCATCCTTATATAAACTTTTTCCTTCAAATAATGATCCCCAATGGAAAATCCTACTTTACGAAGATATTGGATTTGTCTCAATTTCTTGATGATTAAAATAAATGAAATTAATCATCTTTGAAGTGAGAGAACTGAACTAGGGTCAAGATGCATCTAATGGACATGGAGTTGAACTTTGAACTAAAAAAAGGACATAAGAAAAACAAATCTCAAATTCTTTCTTTGTTTTGTTCTTTTTTTTTTTTAACCAGAAGTACTTGTTTTATTGATGAAGAAAAAGAACCTTAAGGAAATGGGTTGAGTCGTTTTGGTAGCACCCCCATACCTAGTAATCACATTTGTGGTTTTCAATCCTATTGACACTGCCCATTGACACCTTTAAAAAAACTAACTCCCTAATCTATCTCAAGAAACGCATAAGAGCTTGTCTTTCCCACTGAGTTACCCCAAAATTAAAAAGAAACAATGTACCAAAAATGAAAAAAGGCAATTAAGAAGAGCCATAAGTAGCAAAAAAATGAAACCGATAAACTCCTACAGCCAAGACATTCACCTTCTAGTTTCCCTCTTTGTAGACGCCTCTATGTAAACATGTTTAAAAGATATTTTTAAGCTCCTACGGAGATCAATTTTCAAGAGATAGTTCTCAACAACCAGAGATCGCATTTTATGAATCACCCTCAATCCAAAAAATATTGCCAATTTGTACGTCCAAAAATAGCTCAAGTCCTTGGAAAAATGCACTTCAATTCAGCTCCATTAGCAGTAGCATGGCACATGGACCTAAGTAACTCATCAATGTACGACCCAAGTGGTCTCTCAATAAGACCTCCCACACCCGCATGATTAGGGTTATCCATCAAAATTCAGCTTGATAACACCTTTCATCATGCGCACCCAAAGTCCACCAACGCAATTTGAAAGAAAGAGTAATGCGATCTTGTTAGGGAATTTTTTTGATTTTTCTTGTTTTCATCTATTTTTTTTTCTTTTTCTTTTCTTTTGGCAAATATCACTTACAAGTAGTCTTATTACAATAACTCTTGCTTCAAAGAAAATTATACTGACAAATCCAAGATCTTAAAAACCTTGATGCTATTAAAGTAATTTTTTTAAATGAAGAAAATATCCATGATTTTTATGCTTGGGAATATAAAGACAATATAATTAAATATGGCAAGAACAAAAGGAGAGTGCCAGAGATTACCTCAACCAGGCTTATTACACCACATACCGAGTCACCATCATCCGATGACATGGAATAAATGATTAACATTCAATCTCAACCGGGAAAGCAAGTTTAGGCCAAGTCATACCAATAGAACATGAACCTTTTTTATCACAAACTCAAACCCTAGATAAATTCTCTTAACAACCTGATTTGAGCGAGATGGATTCTCTTTTTACTACACCCTAAAACTATTCACCATAAATCCATAATTGAGAGATGAGAGAGAGAAGAAAATCATAACTTTAACCTTAGCCACTTGTTACAATGTGGGAGAGAGAGATCAAAGATGAGACAGTGGGGCGTGCCCTTTTTGGGCTTTCATGAGAGAGAGAAACTTTATTAGGAGAGAGATAGAAAGATAAGGTGTGTAGAGATTTTGGTTAGAGACAATCCCTTTTTATAGGATTTAAACAATATTAGGGTTTTCTTTGGTTTGCCTCTTTTTGTGAGATTGAATATGAACCATGGATCTTAAGTGACTTGTGGGATGAGAGATTTGAGTCATCCATTCCATAGATAGGTCATCAACATTATAGAATGTGCTAGAACCTTTATCCTCCTTTCCTAAACCATTTTTCTACCAATAGAAATTAAAAAAAAAAATTTCAAATATAATATGAAGCATACAAAAATAATGCACAAGGCTTGCTTTCTATAAGTTCATTCAAAGCTTCTTCAAGCCAATACCTTTCTAAAACACATAGCAACTTGGCCTACAAGCCAAAATCACTTATCACAAAATATAAAGCTTCTAAATGGGTGGGGCGTGCCACCCATGAGAGGATCACATGGGCCCCACCATCTAGGCTATGGTAGGCTCATGTGCACAATGGGCCCTCATGCAATTTTAAATATTTTTAAAATTCAATAAAATAATTTTATAATTTATTTGAATATTTAAATCATTGTAAAAACAATATATCTAATTTTATAAATCCAAATTTGATAAATAAAATATCTAGAGCTCTAGAAAAATTCAAATAATAATTCTAAAATCATATATATCATAAAACAAATATAATTAAATTCATTAGATGGAAAATTGATCTATATGGTCTACGAATAAATAATTTAGGGCACTCCACCTTCAACTGTGGACTACAGACCATACTTGCTTTATCAAACCGACCCAGTGTTTTCCATGACCCACAGTCCATACAGGGGCTCATTAGTGGGTCACCAAAGTCTGACCGATGAGCCCAATAGTCGCAATCCTAGTCTGTAGATTTCAAGTTCTCCCTTAGAGACGGCCAAGGTCACTTAGACCTGATGCGACCACAACTCCTATTGTGCATAGGGGTATCTCTCGCACATGCATACGCTTCACCCTGAAAGGTGGCTTGCCCGAAACGGTCTATCAATATGTATGCCGTGTGATGATACATGGATGGGGCTTTGGCCCCCATTTTTGAAGGCCACCATCACACACAAGGGTCACACAGTCCCTCGGCTCACTCATCCGGGCATACTCCAACCTCATCAAGAGATGACCTATTAGAACCCTTATCGGTTTATACTCTATTCTCAAGTAACATGTGTTTTTCCCAACCAACTGGCCTAGACCGTCAAGCACAGTCTGGTATAAGCAAACATCGTTTGCTTAGTATAGTCCATGAGGGACCACACTCCCACTAAGTTCATATTCCACTATATCATTTCATTTTACAAGTACTCATAAGACCTTTAATGACCATACATACCCAACACATTTTCCAAGTTTCCCATATAATGGCAGGCGAAAATGCTTGTCAAATTAATTTCCCTACCTTTAATAATAAAGTAAAATTAAGATAAAGATGGGGTTTCTATAAGGCTTAGGCTTTATGAAAACAAAATAAAACCTCACCTCAATTCCTCGTTCAAAAGCATTTTCTGCACTAGAAATCTCCATGATGGCTCTAAAATCAATTTTCAACACCAACGATAAAATTCAAAACTCATAAAGTGGTACAAATCTTGTGGATCTATGAGCATTTATGTAAAGGTTTTCTAAAGCTTGAATTACAATTTTCAATAAGTTATAAAGTAGGGTACAGTTGGCATACGGCTACATCCGTAGTTGTAGAGGTAAGGTGCACCTTTAAAT